TATATTGATTTAAATATTGTATACTGATTTAGAATAGACGGCCTCGGTAGTTTAGCGGTATGGCATACCGCTTAAGATCCGATGGTTGCGGGTTCGATACCTCGGTGCAAACATACTCGTATGTATGATCGTTTGTATCTATCTGAATGTTTTCGATATATAATATGTATGTATTTAGAAAAGAAAACTATGTACTTATATTTGTCTATTGCCAAGGTTGCGACTTTCATTTCCAACTAGTAGACATAGATATCTCTAAGTCGTCATGGCTTAAATCGAAAAGTGGCAAACATAAATGCCACTAGTAAACAATGTCTAAAAATACGACAACACTCACAGGTAAAAAAAACCCAAAGAAGCGATTATTTTATTAAAAAAAAAATTGTATTAAAAAAACTATTTTTGTCGTTCATAATGCTATCAAAAACATTCAATTTATAATTTATAGAAAATCCATTATTTATAATGAATTTTCTATGAACAATATCATAGATAACATTATGCGTCCCATAGATTTACTATTTAAATTTATTTACTTAATTAAACTTTATTAAAAGTTATATAACAATACATATGTTAATTACTTTCTCTTCTAGCGAATCTCCCAATGAAGTGCAGAAATTTGGCTAAATATACTCGATGGCGGTTTAGTTAATAAAACAATAATTATATAACATATTAAATAAATATACCTAGTAAAATATAACATACATACATATTATAAATATACATACAATACATATATATATTATCAACGAGCCACACATATAAATATAATTACAACATGACTACGAGCCTATCGACGGAAGTGATCTATTCCATTAAACTCATTTTGTTTCAAATTTCAATCACATTTTAAGGGTATTGATAATTTTATTTAATTTATTCATAAACAATATTCATAATCGATTCTATCACCAATACTTGGTGATCGACGCACTTCTAATATGAATACAATTGTCTACTGGAATATATTTTTTTAGAATAAAATACGATTTAAATATTTTATTAGTTTAATAACTCAGTGTAATACCGAGTAACAAAAATTGATAATTATTAACCAATAATTATCGAAGGACAAACGAGCTTGATGTAAAATCTCTAGAATGTGTTATACTAAAACGTGAAGTTAACTTTATAGCGCGTTTTACGTTTTGTACAGCGCCATCTAGTAGATTCGTGTTCAACTAAATATGACAGACTTATTCGTTATATCCATTGTCACTCAATTATTTTATAGTAAGTTTAAAATAAATACATAAAATTAATTCGAATTTCAAATTCACGTTCCGTTACACTTACATAAATTATTTGGTATTTTTCCAAATATCATAAAAAACGCAAATTAACATTGTCGAACGACGACTCGTTTTACATAAATGAGATACTAAACGTATTAATGGAACACAAACTCATTTCTTCGTTCCATTAATTCGTGAGCCTCACCGCTAGTGAGTGAATATGTAAATTTTGATTGCACTAAAATTGTAATAACCTTGTTTACATTTGAACGTAATGTACTTTACATTACTACAATTATCGTATAATTGTTCTCACTATTCTTATTTTTTAATTCTTTTAAGTCTTCCTTTTATTCAGAGATTCCTAAATCATTAATAAAAAATAACAAAAATATATAAAATGAATATTTACAATTATTCTTTATGTGTGTACCGATGTACCAAGTCATAACATTATATCTGTTGCACTTTGGGTTTATCTTTGTATTTTTTTTATAATTATACTGACCGAGATAGCGAAGAATATAGGTTAAAAGCTACAACTGTTGAATTTAAAAAAAAACATATCAATACTAATATTATAAACTTTGTCTGTCTGTAACATACTCATATAAAATGAGTATGTTACAGACAGACAAAGTTTTTATTGATGGCCTCAGTCGTATAGCGGTTAAGCACACCACCGTACCTCCGATGGTAGCGGATTCGATTTCTCGCACAATACAAAGATTTGTATTTATTAGTATGATTGATTGTATCGAATGTTTCTATATATATTGTATATGTTTTTTTTTCGGACTACTCTAATGCAAAGGCGAGTGCATATGGCACTCCAAACCCGCGGAAGGACTTATGGAGTTGCTGAAGGCCAACTCTCGCCTGACGGATATGACTTTAGTCTGAGGGCACCGCTAGGGGTGCGGCACAGGCCGACGTAACAAAAATAAATATATATTTGTATTTATATCAATTGTCTAGTACTCATAACACAAGCTCTGCTTAGCTTGGGACAATTTAGAGCTGGGTGAATTATCCTATACATAGGACACATTATTATTATATTATTCTACAACTCATTTGGAAAGCTATCTCATCAAATGAAAAACCAGCAAGAAACTGTGTGTTACTCTTTTGAACGAATATTGTAATTTTACATTTTTAAGTTAAAATATGGGAATATAAACCAAATAGCACTAATTAATTATAGATATTAAAAAAGATATTAACGTTGGATTTGACATATCATTTGACTCTGTTATAAACCTATATGAATAAAGATATTTGATGATTTGCTTAAGTAAAAAATAATAAAAATTAATAGAAAAGTAAATATATAAAAATGTGCAAATAGTTCGCAATCTGTTAGTTGTTCGGCGTTATTTGTATGCAGCATGCGATCATTGTTACCATGCACTGATCTCAAGAACGTGAGGTAAATATGAATAATTGAAGAGATGGAATTACTTGCGTGCTTCTGTAAAACGCTTGACAGTATTTCACACTTCTTAAACAGAAATTTAGGTAACCAATACATACAAGGAAGTCTATTAATTAGATTCGAAGCGATATAATGTATAAGGAAGTTTATTAATAGTAATAGAAATAGTCTTTCAACTACTCATTTTTGATTCTACTACTCATTCGGAACGCAGATTCATCACAAGAAGAATGAGATAGAAACTTGTGTGTTGCTCTTTTCTATAGATGTTTTTTTATATATATAAATAATGAATCGGGTCTGTACAGTTATTATGAAAAATCGAACCCACGACTATCGGAACTAAAACGCTGTACTAACCCGCTAGACCGCTGATGCCGTCATGGGTTTTTTGTGGAAATAAAGCCTGCAGTTACAATTTTGTACAGAGATCTTCATCATCATCATCATCATCCTTTTATAATCCGGAAGACGTCCACTGCTGGACATAGGCCTCAGAGATCTTAGTGTTTTAAATGAGGAGTTCTTCTGCTACGTTTACATTCAGCCGCTTCCCCTGCCACTCCCGCTGCCGGAAATATCAACTCAAGCAACAACTGAGCCAGAGGGCTGAATGTAAAAACATGCTGCCACTCGTGCTGCCTGTCCTTTGGCTCGCGCACGAAAAACCAACAATCGAGGGAGCGCCGGGCAGCGCGAGAGGCAACGCCAATGGCATGGGAAGTGTTTCCACTCTCGCACTGCTCACTTCCCTGCCCACTCAGGCTGAGTGTAAATTGGGCATTAAATATACATCTACAGTTACCTACCTACATCCTTAGTAATGGACATAATAATTACTTCAGAAGAAATAGTCTATAGTTTTGGTAGAGACAAATAATTATCATGAAAGATCATCGACATCGACATCGACGCGGAAACTATATTATTACACAAGAAGTAATACAAAAATATTTTAATATAAATATTGTAAGTTTAATGCATACTATGATTACTATGCAAGAGTTAGCAAAGCGTACTATTCAGCTACATTAATATTTTATTTGACAGTGGGAGCGAAAGGACAGTATTTGTATTGAGCTGGTAAATGTAATTACGGTAAGACGATTTTTCTATATATACTTTATTGCATTTTTAAATACAGTTGTAAACTTAAATACAGAGTGAGCAAAGGTGTACTTATCTCTAAAAGAGATCTCTACCATTCAACCCAACAGTGAGGCATAACTATTAGTGAGGGGGTAACACATGTGCAATTAACAATCTTATGTTGAAATGTCCAAAATTAGAGAAAAAAAATTTAAGAAGGAATTATAAGGTATGTATCAAAAATAAAAGCAGATAAAAGAAGAATAAAAATAGTGACAATATACAAAAAGATGTATCGTGCACAAACAGCATAAATCCATTTCCATTAAGATTGAAAAATCCTAGCAATCCCCATTAAATATGTGAAAATTTCATGTAAATTCAAATTGGTGAAAATGTTCAACGACTGAATTCCAAGAATAAACCTGCTAACTGCTAGCTAGTAGTATGTGTAATTTAAGTAGTAATAGTTCGTATTAATGATATCATTGATGCTTAATATACAAAATTACTTCAAGGTCAATACAAAACAGTATCCCTCGCAGTTAGTAGTAACCGATTAACTTACGGAGAAAAAATAAACATAAATTTAATAGAAGGTCAAAAGGCCAACTAGGATGAACATGTAAATTTACGTAATATTGATAATAAATAACACGAAATTAGAAAATGTCAACCATTTAATTGAATCTCGTGATATATTGACGCCATAAATTGAATAATAAAACTCGTATTAGGTATGTTTCAAATGTACAAGTTTAATGGTTCCGTCTATAATATTGATAGAAGTGCTGTCAACTGATGACGTCACCTGCGCAGGCGCAGCTCAAGTTTAACCGCGTCGACTAAATATAGAGAGTAAACATTTCTTAAGTGAATCATGTGCGTCTCAGCTGTATTAAGTGAACGCATGAATGGTAATGAGTAGGTTGTTCATTCAGATTTCCAAACTTCTATGATTTTCCAATTGAACAGGAATGGGTAAGCTTTTTGACGAGTCTTCCAGTAGAAATGTAAGAAAAAAGATCATAACGAATCGTCCAGTACCAGTTTTTGGACCAAGCGGTTCCGCGTGCATTCAAAACATAACCTCTAAATTGTTAGCCCATTGTCCGAGTGGTAAAAAATGCAGGCACCGCGCCGCGTTAGTGCCGGCTTAGAGCGCACCTTCGTTGTAAGCGAATGCGAGAGCGAGTTCAAAGCCAGTAAGTGAAGCCAGTCACATTCCCGCCGCGGGACAGACTCCTCGCCTCGCTTGCCCCCGACCGGCAACAAGTTTCTGCACACTTCTCGATAAGTTATCAGTAAATAATTGCATGAAGTCATCGATTAAATTAAGTAGCACAAGCAAAACAACACATGTAGCCGTACCGCAACAGTTTTCTCAGATAAATCTCGCCGTTGCAAATGCTGGGTCCACTAAGATTAACAGTAAACTTGCGAAGTCCGGTGTTTAAGTTTGACAGCTAGTGAACTCTACAAGTGTTCGTGAAAAGTTTGGTGCGATCCAATTGGTTGTTATCTTATTTTGTTTGATTGTTTGCTAAAGTGGCCACGATGAACGGAACGCCGGCAAGGAGATCCAAGAATGCGTTCTCTGAGACGGTAAGTGACTTCTGTGATTTTGAATATTCTATTAAAGTTTGTTGTGCTGTCAAACTTTATCCGGAAGAAAAGAGACAGAATAATGATTTAACGAGAGTAACTGACATGTTTAGAAGAATCCATATTTCTTTACTACGCAAAGCTTCAAACCCTAAGTTGTCTTGTAAATTTATTTATTAACATGATATGTATTTTCACTTCATCAACACTCCCAGATAAGTAAATAAAGGGAATATAAAAAAAGTTCCATTTATCATCATAGCCATCGAAATTAGGTACATGAAGTTTAGGTAACTTTACGCGAATTTCAATAATATAAAATTTTATTAGCGAAAGGGCTACAAGTATAAGCAAATAAATAAATGCTTATTAGATTAACCATATCATAAATTGTGAATATGTAAATTGACAACAGAACGATAACTTTACAATAACTAAATATGTATGGTTAAAACATTCCTGTTTCGCTATTTTTAGGTATATGTAGTAACTTACATCATATTGATATTTATAATTGCGTGATTCTAAAGTATTACTATATTATGACAAGGTATAGAACGCATTTGAGACATAATCCATCAGTCCGTTCGTAGGATTTAAAATTAATTAAAAATTATATGATATCTGCAACAAATAGATGCGATCAATTTTCATGGTAATATTAATTAGAAACTCGAAATGAATTGAATTCGTGCTAGTATAGATATCATTTTTAAATATTATGTTGTAATTAATAAAAAATATATGTAATTAATAGTTTCAATTCAACATTCAAAATTTGGAACTGAACTGAAACTGACCAGTGAAAATTTGACAAATATTATTTTAATACGCATTGTATGTTCTTGTACTTAGATTCTTGTTTTAAGTAATACTAGCTATTCCCGCGACTTCGCCCGCGTGAATGTTAAATTTATTTTTCTAAAATAAAAGTAGCCTAAGTTACTTCTTATTACCTCAGCTACCTACCAAAAAAGTCCCGTCAAAATTGGTCCAGCCATTTCAGAGACAACAGGGGAGCTATTACACCACTAACAAACTGTTAAAGAGATCGGAAATGAACAGGTCAAATTTTGAATTAATAATATTTTTTTATTAATTACTCGTAATTAGAGATCGTGGACTTATGATGCCAAATATTTCATATTTTTTATGAATGTCATTTGCGGCATTAATCATAATCATAGATTTAATATATAGTTTACATAGGTATATATATTTCTCTAAGTTCAATAACTTAGTCTATATATATGTATAGTCTTAATTGTCTTATTAATAAAAACTAAAACCTCCTACATACCAGTTTTAACTATTTCATTATTGTATCTTTTCTTACAAATAGACATAATAATTGGTAAGTAAAAGACGACATGACGGCAGTCTGATAATTAAAACGGGTTTATAAAACGTTCCTCGTTTTATAAGTGAGCAGGTCAGAATTAGTGTCGCATATAATAATTTATTTTTACAATCCTTGACACTATATTTATGTTGCTAACTGTACCAATAATGAAGGACAATACGATTTAGCGTCCCTGAACGCGGCGCCGCGGCGGCCACCTGCTGACAGTGGCCTTGTTTGAGGGTGCTACGGTCCATGAGTTCTTGTAATCTTTACAAGACAAGTTCACAACCTAAAGCTTACAATGTCTGCAATAAATATTTTATTTTATGTTTTATTATTTTCTATATATATTAGTCATTACCGTATAGGTATATAATAAAGGGCAATATTGCTATATCTTACTAATACATGCGAAAATAAAACTTATAAATGCGAAAGTTTGTGAGTATGGATGGATGTTTTTTACACTTTCACGCAAAAAACACTAAACGGATTTTGATGAAACTTTGCAGTAACATCAGAATAACACAAAGGATATAATTTAAAAAGATATTATGTAAATTAAGCGATATGTAATGATAAGTGTGATAGAGACGAAATCGCGCGGGTCAGTTAGTAATAAATAATATTAGGTTCCCTGAAATAAATAAATAAAATAGGTGCTAATTAAAAAAAAATAAAAAATATATATCATATTCTTGCAGTTTCTTCTTGTAAAGTTCTAACTTTCTACGCAGATCTTCGGAGAAAGTTAGGACCTATCATACTGATATAATAAATGTGAAATTATGTGTTTGTCGTCTGTATGTTCCGTTTACACGTCTGAACGGATTTTAAATAAAATTTGACATTAAGATATACATCTATTGCTTTTATAAATAATCTGTATTTAAAAGACCAACACACAAGTTTCTTGCTCATTCTTCTTGTGATGTTTTGTGATGTGATTGTGATGTGAATTCAAAAGTGCTTATATTGAGTTTATTTGAATAAAGGTTATATCTATTTGTCTAAAAGGGTGGAAAAGGGGGAGGAAAGATTTTGCAACGAAGTCGAGAGTAACAGGTAGTACAATATATAAAATACTATTCCCTACTATTCATAGTCAAACTAAAATTAGAATCTATAGTAACCAATTTGAATATTCTATAAAAATAAAGTAAAAATTTCACTATCCACGTTGTTAGATAATATTAAACATTAAAATATAATATTATAAAATAATTAGAGTATTATTGGTATTTAAAAAATTATAATAAAAAAAAGAAAAAAAAATCTGAGGAATGCACACACAGGAATAAAACAGATCAAGAGGATGTCGCCACAAAGAAAGCAGCACATATTACTTTATTCAGAAAAACAACCCAACTAATCAACTTCTAGAAGTACTTCAATACATTTTGTTTTGTTAAAACACACTATGTTCTATGTAAGCAAACACAATGAATAAACAAATGTTTGTAATTTGTATAGAGCGAGCATCAAACCCGTGATTATCGGAAGCAAGGTGGGTCTAGGAAAGGCTACAAAGTCTTATAGAACACATTTTCCAATAAATGAAACTTTTCTAAAAAAATAGAATAAATAAAGCAAAACATTTTTTATTATATTTTTTTAGAAAGTCCATTATAAGCCATTATTCCATATTTATAAACTCTATGGAATAATGGAGTCTAGATAATAGAGTAAAAACTTTTTTGAATTATATTACCCAGTGCAATACCGAGTTCCAAAAATTTTATATAATTATCATTCAATAATTATTGAATGGCAAACAAGCTAAGGAGGCAACATCTCGAATAGGTTATACCAATACGTGAAAACAACTTGTTAGCGCGTTTTACTTTTTACATAGCGCCATCTAGTAGATTTCCATGGTAAATAAACGGGGACCGGACACATTCGTTCCAGCGCCATCTAGTTACAATTCTGTGAATTAATACGAATTTAGAATTCACGTTTTTTTCACGTATGTTGGTAAGTTTTTTGCTATTTTTTTGAATTTCGAATCGAGACATATCTTTATAAATTCGCGCTATTATATTATCAAACTTATTTCTTTGGAGAAATAACTAATTAAAAATGGAAGTTTTGTTTATATTCCAATTTGTGTTCACTGTTACAATGTTTTTAAGGCCAATTTTTAACTAATTTACGTCACACATTAAGGGGGAAGAAAGAGGTCAAGGAAATGTGACATTTTGTGACAAGGTATAGGAGGTGTAGTAAGTAATTATTATTAAAATACGCAGTTTTACTTATACATTTCTAGGCGTAAATTGCCAAACATGTGACGTCACAGCAGTGATGGGGAGTCTGACAAATGTGTGTGGGGTTGAAAATTCGTGAAATTTGTGTGCCTGAGATTAAACTGCGCTCTCTTTTTGTGTTTATGTTAGGTATCTTAAAAACCATATTACATTACTTTTGTACCTACTATATGATATAAGATATATTGACTAATAGAGATATTGGAATCAAATATATATATTTACTAGCTGTGCTTCGTCTGCGTGGAATAATGATCTTGACTAACAAGCCAAAGAATTATTATTATTATTAATTTATATAGCAAAACAACGTTTGCAGGGATAGCTAGTATTAGATATACCATATATGTGTTATTTTTATTTCCACTATATTAACAACTACGGAACGTATTTTTTTCATACATTTTCGACCTTTTATTTATCATTTTTTAATACAAGTTACTTTATATCGCCGGTCTTATCATTTTGTTCCAATTTCAAAAACACATAAACCGAAGGATTTTTGTTATCGATAATTTAATTGCATATGCTGTTTAATCGATTCAGAATTCGTGTTTGTTTTCTTTTTTATTAGCTCAGGTAAAAATAATATACAGCTATGTAACCTTGAATACATATTTGTGTATCTTTATATTGTATAGTGCCGTCTTTAGGATATGTGTTACTTTATAGTACCTTTATTTAGTAGCTAAATTCATACTGCCTCGGTAGATCGTTCTCTACAATATTATGAAAAAATGTTTACTTCTTTAAAAAATAATTTTATTACAATAACAGTGTTGGGAAGACCTAGTAAGCATAGCAATACCTGTGCAAAGTAAATTGCCATATGTTTTTTTTTAAGAATTTATTTAAGACACTGGATACTAAATATTACTATATAAAAATTACTTATTAGACGTTAAATACGAGTATAAAAATTTACAAGTGGCATGTTTGTATAAAATGTTAAATCCGCATGAAATTAGTTCCAATAAAGAAATATAAGCTTTTATACGTATTTTAATTCTAAAGAATTAAATTGCTAATGCTAATTCATTGTTAATTAATGGTATTTGCATCATTGGAGATAAAAATAATTGTCAAGTATTTTTTTAATGGATCGAATAGTTTGCGCTCATATAACATAACAGTCCAACTGAACCGAATAACCGCACTAAATTCGCGAGAGAAGTCGTTGAATCCACACTAGTGTTACAAATCCGAAAGCATGTCTGTCTGTATTTTTCTTACCTTGCCAGGAGTAAACGCCTGAGCCGATCTCAATAAACAATTATTTTAAAAAGCAGACGATGTCACGGGTTTCTGCTAGTATTGCTTATAATAATGATGTGGCATTGTGCCGCTTGTTAAATTATTCCACAAGTTCGTCGACCACTGAAACT